ACTTATTATTTTTTTTAAGATTTATTTACTTATGCATAGAAGAACTGGGGTACAGGCCAGAGGTTTGGGGGTTGAGAGAATTAGCCAGAGACAGTGGGGAACAGAAATACACTGCTGAGGGGTGCAGCAGTGAAACAGGAGAGGTCTGCTGACCATGTGGGTCAGCTCCCTGGCCTGGGGTTGAACTCTGCTGCAGTGGCTATGGATAGCTTCACAGTGCTGTGCTTAAACCCCTTGTGCCACCAGGGAGAGCCTGACACAGTAAAATTTTTAAAACCCACAGGCCAGCAAAAACTAAGAATGACTGACAAATGAAATCTTGTCCAGAACCTTGGTGGTGTCACTGATCATGATGAGACAAATAGCACTAGACTGAGAGAGCAAGTCTAGGATGGAGCTGGTGACACAAAGGTGTCACCTGAGAAATTTTCATTTTCATTCATATATGTTTTCATGACCCTGATTATTTTTATCTAAATGTGGGGTCTAAAATCTGAAACACTAAAAGTTCTGGTTATCAAGTAAGTTTGCAAGCCATCCATAAAGTTTTGGAGGTAATGTTGTAAATGAACAAGCTTATACTCATTTTCTTTTGTATATGAAGCCAGTTTGAAAAATATCTTCAATGTGAGCCTGTTACAGGGCAGGGAGAGAGGGGCACCACTGAACCCCCAAACCTGCCTGTTCTAAATAGGTTCCGCCATCTACCACATCAATACAAAACATTTAAGACTTTAATGAAAAGGAACTTTAATACAGTGAGTATACAACACAAAAGATAAAGAATATAATTTCTAAATCAAACACCTGAAGTTACCCATCCCCTCGTGGGCAAAAGTCCACCCAAAGGGGATTGGCCCAAAGCAAGGCCTGAAAGCCCACCACAAGGCTAAAGCACCTTCTGGCCGGGACCCATGGAAAAGGTCATATATGGCCAGACAAATATGGGAGGAAAAGAGCACAACCAAATTAAGATATAAACTGCTATAATCAACCTCCCCATGGTTCTCACCCACATCTGTTTTAACCCAGTCCAGGACCAGAAGCAAGCAAAGTTTCTTCACATGTTTCTCTGTTGCATGTGGCTTCCTCAGGTCTCCTTTTGGCTCTCCACCCTGCTTCCTTCTTCTTCAGATTCCTTCTCTTCTCTGCATTTCTCTGCTCGGCTCCACCCTCCTTCTGTGGGGCAGGGAACCTGGAACTTTGCCCTTTCCTGGAGACCACCCTGCTACAAGACCATGGGAAATTATAAAGCATGTTTCTTTCTTTAAAATTTACCTTTTTGTGGAAGCTTAAAAGGTAAAGCAAAAATAAACCCAAGAGGAGGTAGCACCACTTCTAATCCCATTATGGGTCTCACTGTCCAGGTGCTATCCAGCTATCTGCCCTCAGGCACTTCAACTCCTGGTAGCTTATTTAGCAAACATTAATTGCAGTTCTAGATCTTTTAGGTGTTGCCTATCTTGACTAGAGAACTTGCCCTTGAAGTTGTCAATTTTCTAAATATATAGCTGCTGTCAGCTGCTTTTGTGTAGTTTGTGTCTTCTCAATGTAAAATATAGGAAAATAAGTTACACCACATTATAGCTCGCATCTGATGGGAGCACTGCTGTTTTCAGAGGATGCTGAGTGGGCATAAGGTTCCCCAATAGATATGCCTCACTTGGCTCAGCTCTGCCTGTCCATGTGGATCCCAAAGAGTCTCAGGGTGATACGCTTTCTTGGGTGTGTACCCTAGCAGCATTCTAGCTTCTGTGGGTCCTCTGAGGAAAGGGATTATATTGTGTTCATCTCTGTGTTCCTTGGTGTCTGGCAAAGCTTCTAAAAAATAGGAGGTATTTAGTATGTGCCTGTGTAATTAGCAAAAGGATGGAAGAAAGAGAGGAAAGAGATAGGGAGAGGAGGAGGAACTATGCTGAAAATGAAGGATGAGATTTTCTTCCAGGATAAGTTGGAAGCATCGAATGCAGGATTTTGTAAAAAAAAAAAAAAAAAAAAAAAAAAAAGTTAGTTGCTACTTCATATATGCGAAGTTTCCTTGCAGAGAGTATCTGATGTTCTAGAAGAACCTGATACCATAAATACTGAAATAAATCCTCCGTGCTGGAAGAGTTTCCAATAAGGTAAAAAAAAAAAAAAATAACACTAGGTAGTTACATAATAGGAAATACCTCTATTCTACCAAAGACTATAGTTCTAAGGAGGATAAAAACAGCTTTCTGAAGAAACTCAGCATTTTGAGCAATAGCAGTAGCTTCTTAATAGCATGAATTGTTTCTATTTTGAAATACAAGCTGTACAGAGTTCTCTCCATCTTTTCTACCCCTGTCCCTAAAGCTGTAACCCTTATATTACTTGTTCTAATAGTATACAATGTCTATTTTTTTCTGACCACCTCCATAAATTACTATTATTTGGTGATGTTTTTAGGGAAAATGTGAAATGGTTTAGATTGTACATCAACTTTGTGAGATTGGTTGTGGCTCACTAGACTTTGGGGAATTCTGAAGTTGTTTCTGAGGTAAATAGGGAAAGGTTCCTTGGAAAGAGGTGACAAGGATGGGAGTGCAGCAGTGTTCATGATATGTGTTTGCCTCAGCTCTACAGGCAAGGTTAGTGGTGAGAGCAGGGTTCTGACCTATATAAGAGTCACTGGAAGTTGTTTCTATTTAATTTTGATTCAGAGCCTTCAACTGTTGGTTTTCAGATCAGTTTCTACAGTGGTATGAGTATAAAATCTTTGAAAGAGGGAGAAAAAGAGAGTTTAATATTTTAACAGTGTTTATAACTCTCTAGTTTACTGTTGACTCAACCTAAATTAGACATCGTGACTTGGAGAGGAGGAGGAATGAGAGACTTTTTAAAAAGTTCCTCCAATATAAATATTTTCCAATGGTTATCTCAAAGCAGCTTAAGCTTCTGAAACTTGAGCTACAATTGGAAACTCCCAACTTAGCATATAAGTTGCCATCCAGCTTGATAACCTGAACTCTCCCTTCATTTCTTGGGAATCAGCTGTTCTGAATGGTGTCTAGTAGCTTTAACCCATCACTGGGACATCCTATTAATGGCAACATTTACACAGGCATGAAACACCACTCACCACGGAGGACACACACAGTCATCTCATTTGAGGGATTCTTTTTCTTTTCCTTTATTTCAAGAGAAAGGCCAAAAAATGGTTGATCGAAACATGTATACTTTCTACCTACATAGAGGATATCCAGCATGATGGAGTACTCAAGACATTCTTTTCAGTTGAAGAAACTGAGGCTAAGCTAGTGATTTTGCCTATCCAAGCTGCCATGGATGAGCTTATCTTAGCAATCTGACAGACCAGATGGTGATAAAAATTCCGTGAGTGCTTCACATGCTAGATGGCAACACTACACTTCAAATGTAGTGTTAAGAAGATCCTCTAGCTCCTAGCCTCAAGAAACTCTTGTGCTAGTTGGGAGAAAATAAACAAAACATCCCAACAAAATAAATGCTGTAAGGTACCAGCAATTCTGTTGAAAAAAAATAATAAAATATGGCTACCAGGGCTGCTGCTTGAAGAACCTGACTTTTGTGTTTGGATTAGAGTGTCATGATGAGATAGTGTTGGCATTATGAAGTTCTTAGAAACAACTCTTTTTTTTTTCAGTCCTATTACTAATTTTTAAAAATAATATAATAATTCATTTTTGCATAATTTTGTGCCTTTTTCCATCTTAGTTGTAATCTCCGTGGGCTTCCCATCACCAGATCACCCGTGTGCCATCACCATAGTCCAGTGCACTTCCCCCCTCCCCCATTTTTTATCCCATTCCCTACTCTACCGCTGTAAAATGAGACAACCCTTTTAGTCCAGGGACACAACAGAAACAAATATGTCTAAGAGGTGAAAGAAAGCCAGTCTAATGGGAGCAGAAAGAATGCTCAGAGTCCTATCTGTCAACCCTGCTGTCTCCTAATTTGTTGTTGGTAACGGTGGTGGTTTATAATAAGCCTTTAAAACTTTCATAGCACTTCCTGGAGTTGCTTTTAAGTCAGTGCATTTAGTTGGACAGTGTTTACTTAGGTATGTGTTGATGACAAAGAATTTTTTTAAATCAAAGTGACCCACAGCATGGGCCTAGCTCCTTCTGAGAGAGGTGCATGCTGTCACCATCCTTCTGTACTTTTTTCACATCCCAAACCGAAACTCCATGACCATTAAACAACTCCTCATTCCTCTCTCTTCCCCCTAACCCCATCTCAGGTAATCACCATACTATTTTCTGTCTCTTTGAATATGACTGTAAGTACTTCATGTAAGTGAAATCATCCAGTATTTATTCTTCTGTGTCTGGCATATTTCATTTAGCATAGTGTTCTCAAGGTTGTTACATGTGTCAGAATTTCCTTCTTTTTAAGGCTGCATAATTTTACATTCTATGCATCTACCTACCATATTTTGTTTTACCTACTTATCTGTTGATGGACATTTAAGTTGTTTATGTTTTTTGACTATTGTAAGTAGTGCTGCTATAAACATGGATGTACATAAATCTGTCCCTGTTTGCAACTCTGTTGGGTACATGCCCAGAAGTGAAATTGCTGGTAAATTTGCTAATCTTACTATATTTTAATATTGTCATATTCAAAAAGGCAGAAAGTAGGATGGTGATTACATGGGACTGGAGGAGGGAAGAATGAGGAGTTATTTAATAGACATGGAGTTTGCATTTGGGATGAGAAAAAAAGTTCTGCAGAAGGATGATGGTGATAGTTGCAGAGCAATGTAAAGATACCGAATGCTGCTGAATTGCTGGGATTGATTGTAAAATCACTTACAATTTAGAAACAATTTTAACAGTATTGAAATGGTCATTTTAATTCAAACTAAAGGTCACCTACAGAAGGAAGGTGACACAGAAACACAGCTGAAATTTTACATTTTTGTTCTTGTGCTATGTAGAATAATTGGAACAGGAGATGACTTGTTTTCAGTGTGGTTTTAATTTTTTTCTTTACAGCATCAAGCTTCTAGCTGTGCAAGAACTACTTGACAGAGAGGCCCTGGAAAAGGTAAATATATTGTGCTTCCTACCATACATTCACAAACTTAGAACAAAGAAAAATTCAGCTCCCTGATGCCACAAACAACGTATGCAAAGTTTATTTGTCACTTTGTATTCCTAGTGATCCAGTAAACCAGATAAGAATTTAATCAAAAAATTGCACATAAAAAATGTACAAAATGATGTAAAAATAAACTGTTATAAAAAAATTGCACATGGCTCATATCCCTTAACACTTAACAAATTCAACCTTGCTTGGCTCATTTAGGCTGTGAGCAGTGCTTTGGAGCACATTTTCTGTGCTTTCAATCACTGTACAATGATCACCTCCTTACTAATTCTCTGATTCTGTACTAACCACTTCTCTTCATCTCTGCTGTGTGTGTTATTTGGAATTATAGATGATATAATTGTAACCCAGCAAGTGTAGGTAATTTGCCTAGGGAAAATGAACTAAGAGGCAGAGTAAGTATTTGAACCCCAAAACCAATGCTTACTTTTTTTAACAGGCAAGTTCATGAGTTTAAGCCCATGTGGGGGCTGCTTCTGAGGATCAGGAAACTCCTTCCCCAGCCTAAGTTAATACTCCAGTATGCTCTTAAGATATCACCTCTGAAAGAGGTGATAGCATGTACCTCTCTCAGAAGGGGCTGGGCCCATGCTGTGGGTCACTTTAATTAAAAAAAAATTCTTTGTAAGTATGTAGCTAAGGATGTTACTTAGATTTGGTAATGCTAACGTTAAAGGATGTCTTTAGAGAGAGAAACACCCAAAAGTTATTATTTTAATTGTAGAATTTTGAATGTTTGGATTAGTTGTGGTCAGTCTGCTGGTTGGCACTAAAACAAGTAAATCCTTTAAAATAAACTCCAGGCAGTGATGTGAGGAAAGGGAATGGCCTGAGCCTTGGCTCTGAATTTAACATTCTTTTAGCCTTATTTCCATCTCATGTAAAACAAGGATAGCACTGCCTGCCTGACTTCAAAGAAGCTGCTTAAGAACCAAATGAGTTAGTGTACTAACTCAGAGGGGCTTGCTAAATGCCAAAGAATTCGATTCCTATTAATTCTTAATAGGCGTCCAGCCATTAAAGTGTCTCAAGTCCAGCTATAAAGAAATCCTTGGTCAAATGACCACACTGTATATGAAGGTAGATTGGAGACCTATGCAAGGAGGTCCAAAGGAGTCCGCTAAAGCTGAAACAGCACCACAGAGCTCAGAATGACCAAGTGGAAGAAGAAAAGAAAGATAAAACGATGTTCCTGAAAGTGACTAGAACAAGAGAAAAACAATGTGGAGAATCGATGTGACCTGGACACATGGACTCTGGCCCAGGTTGGTTTTGAGAAGATTCAGGAGCAGCAACAAATGGAAAGGATCCTAAAGAAAGCATCCCAAACCCACCAGGAAAGAGTGCAGGGCTTCAGTGGACAAACCCAAGCTGGATATACTCACCAAATACTGGAACTTTTCCAAAGTCAATTGGACAAAGTAGCTTCCCGGATCACTGGGTGAGAATGCCACTGTGCGAGAGCAGCAGGCAAAGCTGGGGTTACATTTCATGCCTTTGGTATTTTCTAGAAATATCTTTTATACTTACCCTTGAAAACTTCTGTTGTAACAGTGATTTCCAAAGCAGGGTGCCTCCATTCTAGAACTCAATTAAAGCAAGACTGGCCTTTCACTCTATTTTGGATTTTTGGTAGTAGATAGACAATAAACCTTTTTAGACTGGACATTTCTGGAAACTTATGTATGCCTTGGAAAGCATTTTTACTACCAAGTTGCATTTAACTCTTTGATAGTTAGCCAGATTTTGTCCTGGTTTAGACTGGGATCATACTATTTTATAAGATTAGTTCAGTTTTTATATTGATATTAGATACATTTCCTGAAAAGCCTTGTGACTTACAAATTGTCATCCACCTGGACAAGCTGAGATCAACCAAGAAAAGTTCTCAGTGGACTGTAGAGCTTTGCTGCTCAAAGTGTGGTCTGCAGATCAGCATTATGTGCTGCTTGTTTGAAGTGCAGAATCTCAGCTCCTGAATCAGTCTGTGTCCTAACAAGACCCCAAGTGACTTGTGTGTGCTCAAAATCTGAGAAGCCGTCCTGGAAAGGCCATTTACCATCACCATGACTTTTACTGCATAGTACATCTTCTGAGAAAATTTGTAAGGCATCAGCTATTTGTTTTCATTGTCATCCAACTGGACAAGCTAGAGAACCACCCAGAAAAGATCTCAGTGGATTGTAGAGCTTTGCTACTCAAAGTGTGGCCTGCAGATCAGACCACTTCAGTTTCCATTTTTGCCACTAAAGGAGAAAAAAGTAAACATCATTCTAACTGTAAGAACTCAGTTTTATTTTTAATTTGCCTGTTTTCCTTTCATTAAAACAAATGAAAATATTCCTATTTAATTAACAGAATCAGCAAGAAAGTTCTTAGGTACACAACCTGCAACCTTAGAGCTCTTTGTCTTTGTAGCTGGACTCCGACTGGCATTAGGCATTTGGGTTTTGTAATTACTGAGCCCCTGAGATCCCTTCAGACAGACCATCCCCTTGTGATAGCACATGCTGTCCGCATAAAACAGAAGTTATCCTGAAGGGATCATTTCCCTCACGAGTACTTGGAGGTTAACTCTATCAGTAAAATATCCAATTCTGTTATACATAATATAAAAGGCTAAAACGGAAACAGAGTTTGGGGGATCTCCTAGAAAATTAGTCCTGTCTCCCTTTCTAGTAGCTTTGCTCCCTAATATTAGTCTGTTGTTATTATGACTTTAATATGTCACCCTAAAATTACCAGATATTTGCCTGAATTGCACTTTCCCTGATATTTTTAGGAGTCTTTCCTGTGCACAGCACCCATGGTGGGAGGTTTTCTGCAGGAAAGCCAAGACCTCCCAGTCTCTCCATCTCTGACTGGGCCTAGTAGCAACCTTCCTCCAAAGTCCAGGCCCCTTCTTTAGCCATAAAGCTGGTTCATTTCTGTTCTAAAACTCTTAACATTTCACTTTCAAAGTTGATCCTTGATCTCCTTGTGAAAAGGGAAATATTTTCCCTATACTCTCTTTTATAGTATTTTCTCCACTTCATTGCTTCAGTGGTCCTTACTGGGTTAGGGGCCTTCATGTGTCTTTCATCTGCCTTCATCACCAGCTAAACACGCTGTATGGGGAGCAGGGTATGGTGAACACATGCCCAGTGACCACAGTATGTAGGTCAGTAGGGTTCCAGCTTTGACCTCTCCCAACGCTCTTTGTAGTTTAGGTGCAGTCGTAGGTGGAGTTTGGGGCACCTGAGAGGTCAGTGTTCTGAATTTTTCTTCTCCACTAACACTACATAAAGTCATTTCCCAGAGAAGTAACAGTGATTTTACAGTTACTTAAAAGACAAGTTGTAAGCCATACAGTTAATTTTCTCTACTACTTTCTTATTTTCACAAATTATTAGAATGATGAGATGCTTTAAAATGTACAATGTCAGATCATATAGCATGTCTCTGAAAAAGTGCTTTGGATTTGGATGTACTCACTTTTTTTTTAAAGAATTATTTATTTATTCATACAGAACTGGGGTACAGGCCAGAGATGCGGAGGGTGAGAGGATTCACCAGAGACAGAGTGGGGAGCAGAACAGGCAGATCAATGAAGTACACTGCTGAGGGGAGCAGTGGGCAGGTCAGGAGAGGTCTGCCAAGCCATGTGGTCTCCTCCGGGGCAGGCGGGAATGGAACTCATGCGGAAGTGGCTTTAGCTCCTCAGTGCAGTGCTTTAAGCCGCTGCACCACCAGGGAGGGCTTGGATGTACTCACTTTTTAAACATCTACTAGGTGCTGAAAGCATGAACTTGCTCTGAGAAGGAAGCAAGTCATCCCTTTTGCTCTATTCTCTTTGCTGGAAGAATGGGATGCTTTTGTTTTTCTGAACTTCAGTCACACAAACTTGTTTCCCAAGCTTTATAAACCGCCTCATCCAATGCCTTGAAATGTGGCATTTCATGAAAGGAAATAAAAATATTGGTACAGCTTGATTTAGTAAGATCATTTTTCAATGATCCTTTCAAACAGCTTCCTGCTAAACTGCAAACAGTAATTTGGCCATTCAGTCTAGCTGGAGGTCACCCTGTCCCTGGAAGGGGCCATAGGGCAGAGTACCAGCGGACCCAACCCAAGATCCAAGTCTGCCTGAAAGCTGCCTGTGTGAACAGAGCCTCCTGGAGGCTCAACCCACCCAACTCATGGCCATTGTCTGTCTTGCCCCTGATTTCTCTGGCTATGCATGACACAGTGGTTAGTCACACAGTGACTGAGTCCACACTTTGTCCTCTTAGAACTCAGGCTCTGAGGACAGATGGGCTGGGGTTTCCTGGTCAAGGAAACTCTTAGTCAAGATCCATCCCCACTTTCATTTTAACATAGGCAAGGAGTGTCACAAAAGGAATGCATTGTAGTCCTACTTCACTGGGTTGTTTTAAAATGAGAATTATGTGAGACAATGCTTGAATAAAAGAAATAATGTATATATATAGTAAGCACAAATTGATAGTAACTAACATGCTTCCTAGTACTGATTAGTTGCTTCTGTTTCACCATCATCTTTATGGTCATCTTTTTCTCTTTCTTCTTTTTAGACCAGCCCAATTTGAGAGTGATCCATTGCTATTAGAGGTTGTTGAAAAAGGAGTTACCACCACCCCCTTTGCCAAATTGTCTAGGACAGTATACCCATCTTCCATACATCCTGTTGCCAGATTTTTTCCCCCAGGATTTCAGCTTTGAAGTCTAATTTTTCTATTGGATGACCTCTAAGATCTTTTTTGTTTTTTTATGTGGGAAATTAAGTGTACACATTTTGGTAGCAACCTTAAGACTAGAAAAATTGAAATTGATAGCCAACTTCAAGGTAGCTTGAAGGTGTACTCATTTGTTAAACAACTTGTCTAACAAATCGGGGCTCTCCTGCTGAAACCTAGTGGTGGCAACATGGGAATTAGAAG